CTCATTCTGTGCAGGACCGACTGTATAATCAGTATATTTCTGATAATATATTTTATAAATAATACACAAAACTAATCCTGGGGGCTATATTTCAAACGTGTCAGCAAAGAAATGAATGTAACATAGATAAATAAAACATAATATTAAGTAGGTCAGCAATATCAAGTGCGCATATATGGATGAGCTAAGTTGAACGTTGCAATGCACGACATGAAGATCTTTCTCTAAAGGTATAAAACGAAAAGGTCTTGTCTTCGTATAGTAGAGTAGCTTTATACTAAATTAGCAGTGAAGCCACGCCCTCTTTCCGTAGCTAATACTATGGAAAACACTATTCGTGTTTATCCATTTACTCATAATGTGTCTCCATAGTTTATAACCAGACCTATTCCACTGTACAGTAATGTTAGATACTGGAAAACATTTACGAGTAGATGATTTTAAGGCACTTTCAATAAACGGTTTGATCAATGGTAGCAATGTTTCTTAATGAAATACATTAATTTCTTTGTCTTATTGCAAATATACACTAAACAGGAGTAACTGATTCCAACATATGGTGCAGTATGTATAAACTACAGCTGTTTTTGGCTAGTTTAGCTTAGTATAACAATCATATTACATGTTTTATCCGTTTTCACCGGGACTGTTTAATAGGTCTTGATAAACCAAAGCAACCGACTATATTTCTTACCTGGAAACACATCCAAAACAAGTAGTATTGTCTCGTCAGATATCAAGACCAACTCCAAGTCATGCTAAATATATAGCAGAGGATCATGAACACTTCCTGAAGGTACGCCAAAAATTGTGTCCTTGTACTCACTATAGTATACGCGCAGTAGTCGAAGGAGGTGTAGCTCTGTGGTAGGGCAGTGGTTGTGCAGTTGCGATGTCCCGGATTCGAACCTGAGAAGTCCCTCAACAACAAAGCTGCGAGCGAGTACTGGCTTCAAGCTGGGGTCGAAGTCGGGAGGGAGAGGAACTGGCAGAACCATCGCATCCTTCCCGAGCTTAATGCGCTTTCTATCTTATGCGGACGTTCCCGCCCTCTTCCCCGCTCCCTCTCTATCCCTCTAACTAGTAAAATACCTTCTGACTTATGTCTCACTGCCGTCCTCATCAACATCCGCCCTTATATACAGTATTAAAAACATGCCTTTATATACAGTATAAAAATGTCCATGAACAAAATGATTTCTATGAACAGAACACTTCGCCAAGGGTGCGGGTGCTCGCCATGACGCCAAAATGCCCGTGTCGATAAAGCAGCGACCCCTTAGTAGTCAAAATGTCCGTTTAAAAAAGTCTTTGAAAGAATGAAAGATATCAAAGTACAATGACTTGACTATGATCAATAGAGCGGTAATGATAAATTGAATGTCAATGCTGATGAATATGATAATGAGAATGATATTATGATGATAGCAATGATGAGAATACTAGCGATTATAAGAATAGGGGTAATCATCACGATGAGATAATGAGAATGATGTAGGTGATAATGACAGATATTAATAGCGGTAGACCTAGTAATATAAGGAATGACCGTAACGATATTACTAGAAATGATAAATTCTATGCAACTAATTTTAACGACAATTATAATAGTGAATACTCAGATAGCAATCACAACAAAAGTAATAATGAGGATTCTTATACTAATAATATTACTAACGGAAACCCGATAAAACTGAAAGGCGTGTTTCCTAAGAGTGGTAATAGACATATAGTAGAAGTTTTGTTTGTCTGTATTGAGATGAAATATCCGTTGTACCAGACCTGACCATCCTCTCCTTTGTGGCGGTTCCAGTGGTCGAGGTTCCATGACCATTAAAATCAAAATCAATTCATGTGCTCGATAGTTGTGTTTCTTCTCGTTTTATTTCATTTTATCACTTATTTTCTCGTGTCATTCTTACTTATTGCATTTTATCATCGTTTTTTCCGTGATTCCATTGGTGTACTTCTGCGCTGAGTAAAACTACTATTCGTGGGAAGTACATGTCACAAGTAATCCAGTTACCAGTTTCGTAATAACAAAATATGCTGATTACGATAATAGATGATAATGATTATGGCGATAATAAGCACGATTCTGATACGGAGTGTAATTAACCGTTATCGAAATATCAATTACCAATAAACATCAAGGAAAAAAAACGGAAATACATAAAAAAAATCGCCCTGTCGTTTGATTGACACACAAGATAAAAATATGATTAAAAAAGCACTTTGGTCTATTTGTCACGAGAATGTCACGGGAGACGCGACCTTACCTGCTTACAACAAGCGTAACACTGGCGCCACAGAGCGAACCGTGACTGCTATGGCGTCACATCCGTCCATGCGCTGTGCACGTATAAGGATTTTTTTTTAGATATAGTAATATCTGCATGATATGATATCATTACACAAGCGAGTCTCAACATTATATTTCCTGGTAGACTGGTAGTCCCGAGTGTAGAATATCCTTTATGTATGTGTGTGCATACTGCGT